TCGCTTGTTCGTCGGCTTACATTGTCTTGTTTGTCGAATGTGATTGCTTTGCATATATTAATCAGTCGGCTTGACGTCGCTTTCGAATCGGCTGCCAATCGGCTTGAGTTGACGGAAGTCCGCACCATTCAAAAGGGTTCTATCTCATCGTAAAAGCTGTCTTCTTTTTCCTGTGGAAAGACAGTTAATTCCCCATCTTTACCATGGTGCGAAGTAGCCTCACCGTTATTGAACAGCATCTTCCTCCTACATGTACAAACTTTGGCTAAAGTATGTCTGTAGGTATTGTTGAAAGCAAAATATATGAAGAAGTTCCAGGACTTGTTGGACTCAACAATGAACGATGCAACGAAGCGGAAGAGTTCAAAGTTACTACACYTTTTTGTGAAAAATAAAACTATAAAGGAATAAATGATAATTGGGCTCCAACAAGCAAAGAAAACACCAATTACTGCCAATACCATCGAAATGACCTTACAGTTTCGTCGGTGTCTTCGGATTCTCGCTTCACCTGACAACCCTCGAGGCAAYGACTGATTGTAAAATTTTCTGATGATGAAAGATTGTAGAGCAACTATTGTCAACAAAGGCAACACAAACAGAATAACAATAAGAGTTAAAAAATATATCTTGTTAAAGAAATCAGTGTCAAGATTAGCTGGCCAAATCATCTCACAATAAGTGTTTCCCATCTTGTAGGTCAGTTGAAAGGTGTACAGAAATGGGCAATGCARTAACATGGAATTCAACCAGATGAAACCGACCACTTTCCTAATCCGACCAACAAACGGTTTACGACGATGTGGATGTACGATGCCACAGAATCGATCAATGGTAATAAAAGTTAAACTCTCAACTGAGACTGCAACAGATACGTCGTGAATAAAATAAACCAGTTTACATAAAACCAAACCTATTTGACCGTCTATAGGCCACGTTCGATGACCGTTATGAATYTCAAGAATTGCAATTGGCATAAAGAAAATCGACGCAAGTARATCGGATATGCTCATATTGGCGATGAGAAAGTTCGTTGTCGATCGCAATTCTCTTCCTCTGTAGATGATAACAATTATTAGAGAATTTCCCACAATCGAAAGAATAAAAATCAGAATATAAGCTGAGCTTTTGGCAGCGATTGAGGCTAGTGTGTCGTGTGGCCCAAGATCGCATGATGTAGTATTTTCTGTGTCATTCCCCTCGTTGAACCATTCTCTTACCGAATAAGATCTCTCCATTTTAAACTRCAAATCCACTGTATTTTCACTGTGAAGTTTGTCTTTGTGTTTATACTAAGATCGAGGTCTGGTTTTCGCGCGTCCGCCCTCTTTCTATCGATATAAGTCGATTCCCTTAATTCCTGCAGATTCACGGATCTTCTATTAATCACAACCTCCGTGACTAGGATTGGCTTAGGTAATTGAAGCATTGACTCAATTCGATAAAAGCTCCTTGTGTGATCGAGTCTGAAATGAAAAATAAAACTGATTTTTTTGTCTTCTTTAATGAAGTACTAGAGTTCAATTAGAGAACTCTATCTYTATCTGTGCGCTTAACTTAGCGAGAAAAGCTGGTTCCCAAGCAACAAGGTTATTTAACACAATCTTCAAAAAAAAAGGAATTGAGCAAACAGAAAACACAATCATATTTAATCTTTGAAAAGAAGGAGATATAAACCAACTCACCGGAATCCAAGTCAGACATGACAATCCACTGAATGTATTTTATCGACGGTCAAATGTACCTAGCCAGTTTCTAAGTGATGATCAACCAGACTCGTTTAATCATTTGAGATCATCAGACTTGATTTCGTGTGAGATTTGAGTATGGATTGGAGTTGTTGGCTTTCATTAGTGAAGTCATAACTGAGCATTAAGTGTTTTTTTTGAAGGGTTATGACGTTCTTATAAGTAGGACCATTCAATTGAATCACGTGACCAATAGTACAAACTCTACTAAATGTTTGTGGCTCGATTGATACTCGTGTTATGAAAGACGTTATTCAAAATTCAACTTATATTCACTTGTCCTCCGGGGCCAATAACACTGTATAAGACTATGTCACATGTCGAGGGCGTAGCACCATCAAAAAAACAYTTTTTTAAATTAACGTTGAAAATACTGCATGTGTAGTGATATAGTGCAGCACAGCACGACACTCTATTCTAAGCTATGCTCATCCGTCTCTCTCAAGACTTTTCTATTGTTTGACATGAGGAAATGTTCTTCTGSTTATTGTTTGCAATGTATACTTCATCATTAGTTCTTATGTCTTATATACAGTCATTTGTAAAGATTCTAACTGCTAATATAATAGATTATTATACCACTTGTCACAAAATAATGGACTAAAAAAYACGACCGTACAAATCAATCAAGTTCTGTGAAATCATTCTTGTTTACGCAGTTATTGAAAGATATCATGCAGTACGATAATAGATTAAAGATTTATCAGCTGCACTATATATTGATGTATTTGTATGTTTTAGCGGTTAGAATTTCTTCCAGGGACTTTATCATCTTTCTTCCCATTCATCTATTTATTCACTCATTCGGTACTTCATTTATTTATCTCTATGGATGGATGTCCATAATCACAGCTGTTAAACGTATTCATCACCATAAACTCATTGAGGTCATGCTTTCATCTCAGCATTTATTAATTCATTTTTCATTTCTGATTTCTCTACTGCGAACAAGTGATTGATAAACACTACTAATAACAAATACATAGACGACCACATACTGCACATCAATTTACTCGTCCACTAACATTTCACTCCTTCCTTCTTTCACAAGCCTATGATTATCAGCTACTTGCAAATAACCAAACTTCCAACTGTGTTTATTGAGTTGTTTAATTCATGATCAACCAGTTCGGAAGCTTTTTTCCGGTGTTTTCGCCGATCGCAATGGCGTTTGGAAGTAATTTAAAATGCGCTTAACTATAATACCAAATCAATTCTGCACGTACTGCCCACCTGACTGAATAATTTGTGTCGGGGTATCCTTGTGTAAAGGAAATTCTATCGAGAATCCATCGATTTTACAAAACAAACGCCTTTAGAAGACTGGATGAGCTAAGCCGAATGATAATGACATTTCGCAGTAGCTTCAAAGGATTCCGAGTATTTGCATCATGTTAAAATAGCATTCAAGATGCATTTTGTTGGACATATTGTTTGTTTCTTCATTGGTTTATTTTCACATAGAGTCTCAAGATCAATTACTGGTCGACTAAATAGCTGACTAATTAATTAATCCCTTTCTACCATCCATTCATCCACTCCCCTTCCGTATCATCCATCCATTTATTCACTCATTTGACAGCTATGTTTACTGGTTTCTTTTTCTTTTTTAATGCATGTTTAGTCTATGAAATCTTTACCGTGACATACTAATATCTTTTCGACCCTTAAGGGTATCCTTAGCCGTCATCTGTAAATTGCGGTAGTTAAAATGTCCCTCTGTATCAAAAGAACGGCTTATATAAGACTATCCTTTTAACGTATTAAGCCGGTCATCTCCTACCATCGTCTCCCAAAGGATAAACATGTTTTTGTTTTTAGATCTTACTGATAATTTACTCAGCCAATCAAATACAAGTCAGCTTAATCTTCAATCAACATGGCAGATGAAGAGATTGTGCGMAAAAATTGCACCAATATAATCACCATCGATAGAGTTTGGACCGAATAAATTTTGAAAAAGTGTATTAAATTCATAAAGTTTAGTCTTTCATTGGTTATAATTTGTTTTTCTGTATTTTTTTTTGTAAAAATAGCTCGGGGTCTGATTTGGCTGAATGAGATTTCCACATGTTCGTTTACTATCTGTTCAGTTGATAAGTTTTGTTACTTGCTTTGTAAAGATCAAAGCCATACCGAGATGGCAGATCAAAACGGGTTGCGAAGTTGGTGTTTTACGTTGTTTTAAAGATCATCGATAAGCCATGCTTCCTTTTCGTAATAAATGAACAATATTCTTAAACCAGGGCAAAATCCATCTACGATAAGCATGTCAAAATTAATGTTGAAATAATTAAAATTCTAGCGATTTTAATTAACAAGAAACAAGCAAAATAAATAAATGATCTTAAAATGATTTTCATGACGGAACTGAGAAGACGGTGAAATCCTGGGTGAACAATAAAGGGAGGTTAAAAACAAAATAATCACATCTTAGTTGAACGAGATGCTTTCTTATATCTGTTATATCTCATTTTATTTCGTATAAAAGTTGTTTAGTTCCTAAATGCAATCAAGTTATATTAGTGGTAGTTTATACTAATATTGATTTACTTGCTTAAATATTCGCCGACAAAATTGCAAAATGAAACATTATCAAAAAAACAAATTATTTGCGAAATGCAACAAAGGGAATACATATTTTACAGAGGAAATTAAAAGAAATGATGTTTATTGTGAAATATGGTGGGTGTGACACAAACTGCCCCCTTATTTTAAATATAATAAAAATATAATCGAAAAAACCCCTGACTTTATGAAATGGATATGAGTGACTGAAACACTAGTTCCACCTAAAACATAAGAAGTAACTGCAAAGCTCAAAGWAGATCAAGTAACTGACTTTCAATGAGGATAAGAAGGCTTAACTCTCAAAACATAGTTCAATGTGAGTAAGCTCTTACTCCCTTAGTTTGACAAAATAAAAGCCATACAATCTTTAAAGTAGAAATGTAATCCCATAATTGCTTAAACTAAATCAATTTCAAACCATGAYAAAATCCACCTTTTGATATGCTCGTGAGAAACTGTCAACTTTTTTTGAGTTTTCCGTTATTGTCGATATTATTTTCATCTATTTTATCATGCAAGAATGACCTGAGAATAGACATGACCAAACAGTCTGTCTTACTTAGTAGTTGCGAGCTTGCAGCACACAACCATTGGAACAGAGAGTCSGAGGCACATCGAAGCCGTGATAATGAATRCTGAAAAAGATCGACAGAAAAAGGAAAGATGGCGAGATAATTAAAGTTAATCGCCACTAACGAAGTAAGGAGTCTCCACTACATCACGATCTACAAGAAACCTCTCAACTATAGATCACCAATMCTTCTCAATGACTTGACGYAATCCTGAACGACGTACGATGTCTTCTCTAAAAGAAAAACATCTCTTTTTCTCAAAATTCCAACCGTTTTTCGCCATTTTTCTTCTCTTGACCTGCTGGTCACCTGCCGCAAGTTTTTGGTTCTTTAGCTGTCGTCATGGCAATGGCCGTGGTGACGTTGGTGATTCGTGTTCATTGTTTTGTCGATGTCGTTCACCAAATACCTGCGAAGCTGGCGTACAGCGGTGTGTATCGCCAGGACAACTACACGATTCATGTCACATGACCAGACCTTGTGGTAAAGGTCTTAGTTGTCATCCGGGAATTCAGAGATGTTATCACGTGCCACGCAGACTGTACGAGCCTTGTGTGGCGGGATATGATTGCGGCAATGCACTTACTTGTCATCCGGGCATTCAGGTAAGTCACATCAATCAGAGTTGAGCAAAAAACCTATTGGTGTTAGCGCAAAACCAAAAGCAAAAATTCTCAATCTTGCCTGAAATATGTGCACACATTTCCATGAACAATATAAATCCTCCGGGCAATTGTACTCAGATTAAAAGACAATGACCCATGTTGGATAAGTATAAAGGAAACATATAAGACCATAAGCAATGTAAGATCATCAATATACTGTACCATGACACTAGGTATGCTACCATGCTATACGGCGATACAACGAGCCTTGCGTAGCTGGATTCCCGTGTGGTCCAGGATTAAGCTGTCAACCAGGCCTCCAGCGTTGTCTTCATTTTCCGCGCCGCGAAGGGGAACGTTGTTCTCTTGGGTTCGAATGCGGAAAAGGACTGGAATGCACGATGTGTGGTAGTGAACCATACTTAACGTGTCAGATGAATAGAGTACCAAATATGGGTAATGAGGTATGAACAAATATTGTGATTGGTTAACGATAAAATGGTTTAAATATCCATTCTCTGATATATGACAATCATTTACAGTTTTACAGCCGTCCATACAACAAAGTGGCTTTTCTCGTTACCCACAATTCCTTCTCCAACAGTATGAAATACGCCTTATGGGTCCGCAATCAAAGGGTCAGCGTTAGACGCCAGTTACATGATGGCGTGCGTGGATTTATGCTGGACATTTATCCAGGTATAAGGAAATCACTGTAATAAGTACCCAGAAGAGACAAGATATAGCCGGTGTGTGATGCTGTTATGGCGAGATTCAATCAAAAATCGCATCATATTCCAGGTCACATGACATACGGCTGGAAATTGCAGATTGCCATTTCCAGGAAATACCTGGCAACGGGCTAGTTACCTCATGTTTACTGAGAGACTATCTTTCAGTAGTAAAACAAGAAATCACAACTAAAGTATACAACTCACATGTTTCAACCCCTTTTATTGTAGAACAGTACTTGACACCATAGTTTGTATTATTAACTATATTCACCCCGGTATCGTTAATATGATTTGTCATTCAAAGTAGAATATAAAAGTGCATATATGTGACTTGGTTAAATTACTAACAACACGTATTCTTACCAGGATGGGGTGACATAGAAGTTCAACTTTGCCATGGTAACTGTTTCTGGGGGGGTTCATCAAGCTTACTTGACACATTGATTGAGATTCGTACATTTATGGAAAAAAACCCGCGTGAAGTTATCACCATTATCTTTGAAGACTATCTTCGAAACCCAACCATCCTAAAGCGAGTCTTTGACCAATCACAACTGTCCAGGCACGTGTTAACCTCAAACCTATGGGGGTCTAGGTACAAGTCTTGGCCGACACTGAAAGACATGCGCAGACTAGGTAGACTAGTTGTGTTTAATAATATTGGATTAGACGGGTTTCCTTACACGCCTCATAACATGTGGTATAGAGTTAGAGAGAACAGATATGGAAAACGAGGACTGGACACTACGGTAAGAACACTCTCACACGTCATTGCAACCTTAGAATGTGATTGGCTAAGATAATTTGTTTCTCATTGACTCAACAGACATGTGTAGATAGGGGAGAGTCAGCTTTCAATGCAAGGTTTAACACTGAGTGGAGTCTGGTACTAGTTAACTGGTTTAGTACAATTCCTAATCCATTTGATCCTTGTCTTAATCCCTTGTATAAACTGAAGAAAAAGCTCAATTCATGTTACAAAGCGTTTGGTCAACGAGCGAACTTTTTAGCGGTTGACTACTATCAGAATGGAGCAAAGGGCGGAGCTTTTAAAGCGCTACAGTGGCTGAATGAACAATGGAAAGGTAGGATTACAAACGACCAGATAAACAAAAAAATCTCGTAGCAGCATCTAATCGATATCCGTAAGTACAAAGGACAGAAATCCAAATTAACAAACCAACACATTTTTTCTATGTCTTGCAGGACAATTCAAGAAAGAAAGAAGAAGCAAGACCTGGAGTTTGTTTGATGCTATGGTTACTAAATTGTTCCATTACAACAACAGCATGATGGGAATAGTTCCTAATATGGACCAAGAAAGTATGACAAATCAAAGCCAGCCTCACTTGACAGACAATACTGTTACAAATCATACAAGACTTAGCCATAATGTAACGCACAGTCACATGACTAATGAGACTGCTGCAATGGCCACCAGTCTTATCACAGTCCAAATCAACAATCTGACAAATATTCGCGATTACTCAAGAAACACCAACAACAATAATATCTTAAATACCAGMAGTCAAATGATCCACAGGATCAATGATACAACGAGTAGAGACATGACTGGCAATACAACAAAGTATATAACAAATGATCACATAATTAATTCAACAAATGACGTAAAATATACTGGAAACCATGTGATCAATATGACTTACAACGCGAATACAAAAGACCTACAAACTTCAACGAGTCAGGAAATGAATGGAGATCAGTTAAGCATGCCAAATGCAAATAATTCCTTGTTAAACATATCAAGTCACAAAGACATGATCAATGAAACAGGTCTCACTAAAGATAATATAGACATGTATGTGACAAGACTTCAAGCAACTAACAAATCAGACCCAAGCTTGATTGATTGGTTTACTCATAAAACTACTCCATTGAACTCTAGTGAGTTATACTTTGGTTCCAACACCAACTCAACAAATAAGAACATGACTTATGTTAATTCCACAAATAGAGAAATAGCCTTTGCAAGAGTATTGACAAACAATGAATTAAATACCACAAGTTTAGATCAAGTAAACAAGTCCGGTCATTATGTAAGAATGGGGGAATTTGACCTAAGCACACCAGACAATGGAAGCACAAGAAATGATTTGATAAATTCAAAAAGAACAGACATTGTGAATGGTGGTAATAGTTCCTGGACAGATGGTGGTTGGCAGGAAAAGTCTTTATCCAGTCATACAGACATAATGGACATTGACAGCCCAATTGATGAATTCAACACTAAAAACAATAAGACTATGGATGGCAATGCTGTAAGCCATGTTTCTGAAGACACAAACTTTGCATCAGCCTTGCCTGATGGTCATATACACAATGACACAAATGAATTCACCAATCAAACAGGGATAATAATAGATAATAACAACAAATATAATAATTCCACAGTCAAAAATGACAAGCAACACAGCCATTATTTTTCCTTCAGTGATAACAATAACATAAGACTAAATATGCAGAGCAATGACAATATAGACTTTCAAGACAGATTAGTACAGGAACAACAAATTATTAACAACACAAGCACTAGTCCTATAACAAACCAGACAAGATATGAAGGCAGTGCTGCTAATGACACTACTTCATTTTACAATGGTGTGGAACTAAGAAAAGGGTTGATTAAGATACCTGTTAGTGATTATCAGGAAGGCGCACAGTCATTAGAAGAATACATTGACCTAATATGATCAATAGTCATTGTCAAAATAAAAATAAGGAGAAAATGTGTGATTTTCACAATATATTATTTCAAAAATAAATATGTTATTTTTACAATTTTTCTCAAGAAATTTTCAAAGCAGAATACGCTTTAACATGTTTGAGAGCCCCTGTTTGACCGGGATTGCTGTGTTTTCTCCCAGTGTGCTTTGCAAGGTTTGTTGTTGTTTTAGAAAGGCCGACAGCCGAATCAATTAGATTTCTTACACTTTTCTACTAACTAATCCATATTTCTCACCTGTAATACGGTTTTTAAGACAGCAAAACCATGGGAGCATCTAGCAGCCATGCGATCGAGTATGAAGAAGCAAGAAAATCATTCTCTGAGTATGAGCAAACAAAATTGGACGAAGTGTTCAAGAAAATGTCAAGTCACAATGAACATCAAGCCGAAGTGATAGAAAATCATTCTTTTCAGGTGGGTAATATACCATCCAAGGCTCAATGTATCTTGACACTTATGTCTCAAGTGAAAGAAACGATTATAAAACCTCGAAACAGGTGTAACTACAGCTAACAAGTACAACAATTTTCTGTATGCAGCACGCAATCTTCTCAAATCACTGTGTTGCCCCAAGTTGCAACTATTTCTCGTTTATTTTTCTTGAAGGGAAAAGCTAGAGGATTATTCTCTTTTTCACTGTTATCACATCCTATCGTATTTAATTATTTGAATCTAACGTGTATAGTTATTTAACCGCTTGAAGAGGCGGACTATAACCGCTGATATCAAATTTACGCTATCAAAAATAAAACTTGTACTTTAAAACTATGTCCTGGTTGTCAATTTATCACGAAAAATATATCTGAAGTGAAAGAAAGGATCACAAAACCTTGAAACAGCTGTGCTCACAGCCAATAATTCTCTATAGGCACGCAATCTTTTACTGTGCACTGATTTAAAGTCTGAAACTATTATATTTATCTATTTCAATATTTAATGGCCTATAGTAATCTATTTATTAGTCTTTCGTTGGAAATAAGACACAGAAAGAAAAATTTGAACGAGTTAATAAAATTGGTTTTCAATGTATATCATATTGCTGGTAAACTAAAAAATACCGTAAATTTTTAATGATGTTTATAGCAATTTAACATTATGATTGATTATATATTTGATTTTTTTGTGCTAAAAACAATTTTTTTTATAATATTCAATCAATTTTGTTACTCAGTATTTTATTGACTTACAGTGTAACCTGTTTTACAGAGTTTTACATCATGGCTCCTTCCAGAGCCAGTGAGCAGGCGTTTTTTCAGAGAAATGTGTGGAATACAGGTTTCATTGGAACAGGGAAATGTCAGCAATACTGACGTCAGCAAAGAAGCCTTCATAGTTGCTCTCTCTCATTTCCTCAAGAGAAGTAAAGAAGATAAAGCTAACATATTCTTTTTAGTATCTTCTGACGCAAGTTCTGTTAGCAAGGAAGACATTGCTAGCTTGAGTGGTACTTTATTGGATGCGTACGTCATAGCATTGAAGTCAACATCCATAGGAGGAAAATGGAAGATTGACTCAAATGAAAGAGACAAGCAGAGATTTGTATCAATGGCTATGAATGAACTTGACAAAGATGGAAAGTTGTCATCTGTGTCAGTCCATGATTTAGTTTCATGGTTTAGTCATTTTCCTTTGATAGAGCACATGTTTGCAGCCGTGTTGCGAGCTTGCTTCATTGATTTAGAAAGTATTATTGAAACTCATTCTCATGGTCTTGCTGAAGGATGTGAAGAGACCATTGAACACATTCGATACGACAGGTAAGACAGTACAGATATTAAAGCCCTCATTAGTTGATCTACGTTGATCAAACTATTTGTTTCACACCTAAAAATTTAATGTGATCTGCTGAGTTTGATGAAAGCAGTCAGTACATTATTTTGTACAAAGTATTAAAGCATAAATCTTAAATTCTCAGGTCTCATATTCTTGTTCCTTGTAAACTTGAAGTGAACTTTAGTGAAACTGAAACACTCCTTGATATACCATCTATGCTGACACTGAATGCCTCTCTTCCTGCAACACTGCGCCACAGATGGCGACTACTATTCTCAACCAAGACACATGGAGAGAGTTTCCAGTCACTTCTCCACCAGATAACCCATCAAGGTCCAACACTAGTTATAATTAAAGACACAGATAGCCATGTTTTTGGAGGCTTTGCATCAACAAGTTGGGCTATCAAATCACAGTTTGAAGGTATTTCAATATTGTGGATAATTTTGTTGGCTATTAATACTTAATCATAGAACTATAATTTGTCCTATTGGACCTATCTGCTACTATTGCACTCTACTTCATATAATATTACTATTATCTTATTACAATAACTATACATATTGAATGATAATTTGTACATAGATTCTTCACTTGCCATTACCTGCTCAGATGTAGACAATTCCTTGTTGAAACCGTATGTTKTTAGATGTTACAGTGTTGGCTGTRTTTATGATGCTGTTTCTGTGATCCCCAGGTGATARTAGATGTTTCTTGTTCAGTCTTGAGCCATCCCTAGTCATCTATCACCCTACAGGATACAATGACAACTTCATGTACTTGAACCAYAACATGCAAACATTGCCAAATGGAATGGTGTGTATAAAAACCTTTTTAAAATTGAAWTTTACATTTCATTACTGTAGCAGATGAGGCACAACTCTAGTGGTTTCGAATATCAATGTTCAAATCCTTAAAACAGTATTGAAAGTTTTACCTCTTTTAAATATCTTTCAACTTGCTGGTATTAAAGGTCTTAACCTTTTTCATCATCAAGTGCACATAGTATTAAGATACCCTGAAATATTCCGTGACTTGAAAGAAGCTTGAAAATGAAGTATAATATGTTAATATGGTGCTTAGAATTGAATTGACTTTGAGACTAAATATGTCTCCAGGGACTGAGGATTATTGATTTTTTTCCTTATCTGTAGGGCATGGGAGGACAATTTAACTACTTTGGATTCTGGCTGGATGATAGTTTTGGCACAGGGCATTGTAAAGGTGAACCATCCACGACATATGGAAACCCAAGATTATCAGCTAAGGAGTCCTTCTCCATTGATGAACTAGAAGTCTGGGGAGTTGGAGTTCCTCCAGAAACTGAGGTATAAAGCAATTTATTAATGTGACTTTATATATTTGAGAAGTAATAATTAAGAAAGAATAAGTATGATTCAGTGATCACAATAAAGCAAGCATTCAAATAATAATATAACAGACCATTCAAAATCTACAAGATGRTGTGTTTCAATCTTGTATTAACACCAAACAAGCTGTTKTTGTACTGTCTGCCTAGTTGTGCAAAAACTGAAGAACAGTAATCTTTTGCTTCAAGAGTGTATTATTTACAAGTCCTCTTTGACAATTGTATTGAAAATGACTTTACTTTCCTCAGCTTAAAGATCGGAGTGTTCTAGATACAGAGATAGAAGCCAAAGCATTTCTTGAAGTGACTGGAAAAGAGTTCCACAGTGAAGGGCTTAGAGAACCTGATCCAGCAGACTAGATCATTGAGCAAAATATCCTGATTCTACAATATAGTGGAAATAACCTAACTCCTACATTACCTATCTCACAAGAAATCTTTTAGTTTCCTTATCGTCTGGTATGAACAATGGGATAGATGTTTTCCTTGGAGAGTCCTTTTTACAAATGCGCTTTTGTTCTGGAAGACATAGAATTAAATTTAAAATAGTACAATAAATTCTTTATAATCTAAATACTCTCTCTATGGTACCTGGCATTAGCAAAGCAAATAAAAACTGGAATCATTTATTCTTTCAGACAACAATAGGTTTTCATACATAAATATATTAAAAACAAAATTTAAAGGCATGAATTGGGGTTTCAATGACATATACACAAAATGTTAACATGTTTATGTGCAACCTGGGTTTCTTGTAAAGGACACAGGAAGCCCAGTAATAGAATAAGGGACAAGACATCCTATAATATATTTCAATTTGTTTATTCAATTTCTACAATACCATTTTTCAATAAAATGTTTTTTTAATTTTACGTTTATATTTCTTATTTGTATTATTTTAGTACATCAAGAAGATAATACCATAGATGTAATATAAAAAGGCTAGTCAGTCAAGAACAATGTTATTGAAACCTTTAAGCTATTAGGGCTGGAAATAATGGGCAGTCTAAAATTATGTCAGTCCAAATTATTTTTTATTTGACTGGCCATATTAGATTTTAGGATGATTTGACTGGCCTGACCAATGAGTATGACCGTATCAGGATGTCTTTGCACTTGACAGTTTTATATCTTTTTTTAAATTTTCTATCTGAGTGAATAACATTATTATGTCTGTGATCTTGAGCATGTGGTACATGTTTGCATATTTTTCTTATTGCCCACTGATATTGATTCAATGAAATCCTTAATTGATTTACATTTACAACTTTTAGCCACTTCTTGTTAAAACATTCAACAATACTGAATGCCACAACTAAACTAAATAATAAAATATTGATAGCAATGTTCATTCTTGCTTAGAATTGTTACATTAATATTATTATTAATATTGAACAAGCATTTTAAAAAAAATTATTTCTTTGGTATTTCCAAAGCCTTGTTATCTACAAAACTGATGCTTATCTTCCTGATCAGCAAAGTCCACCCTCAAATTCATCCTCTTCCTCTGGTTTTGCTTGTGATGTTTCTTCACTGCTTTCTTCATCTTGTTCATTTTCGTCTAAATCAACTTCTACTTTTGGTGTATCAAATAGTTCATTTTTTGGTRCAGAACGAGTTGGTTTGTCTGGTAAATCTCCAGGAACTTTTAAAGAACGTGCAAGTTTTGCAATCTGAAGATAGAACCATGAAGTTGGTGTATTATTCCTCTCATCTTATTTCCATTCATTTATTTTATCATTTTTTGCTTTTAATATGTTTACTTAATTTGGYTCATTCATTCATTAATCCATTTCCCATTTGTTCTCCCCTTCTCCCTTCCTGGGATGGAGTTTTTCCTATAGATCAAAGCACTATGTGCCCTGTTGGTTTACATAATACACTACCTCATTGTCCAGATATGTAAAAAGTGGTTGTGAAGTACAAGCCTTCATACCATCTGCATCACCCTCGTCAAAACATTCCAACAATTTCTCTGCTGCCTGAGCTTCATCTGAATCCCCAAACCCTGGAATACTGAACAAAAAAAAACAGTCATCCATTTGTCATTGATACTGTTTCACACAAAAAGGCGACTGACTGGGTTGTTTCATCAGAGTAGAACCATGATGCTTATTTAAAGGCTTAAAACTGGGATCTGTTGATTGCAATTGCCAGGCAAAATATTTGTTTGTATTTTTAGTGCAATGGTGGTTAAATCGTACTTCAATAATTAGCTCTTGTTTTTTTTCTATCAATAGCTTAGTCATTGCGTAATATAATTGGAAGTCATAGATCAGATGTGTGATACATAAAAAATAGTATTCATTTATACCTGAAAGAGTCTTTAAAACACTGGTCAGCAGCAACATAGTCACTCTCATGAAGATAAACAACTATGAGACCAAGTGTTGTCTTGTACATCATTACAAAGTTTTCTAATCCGCGGTATAAATCAAGCATCTTTTTTGTATTACTTATGACATCTTCATATCTGAAATAGAGGATATTAAGGAAGGTACGTTTATTACTGGGGGGAAGGGCTGGAGTTCTGCGAGTAATTATGTAAATGAATCAATGGATGACCAAAGCAATATTTCCATGAGAACAAAGCAAAGAAATAATAAAGGAATAGCTGAATGAATGGAAATATGTGCAAMTTGATAGCAATATTTACCTTTTTCTTTTTAATAAAATTCTTATAGCTTGAGTCATTGGTTCAATGCCCTCTCTGATCTTATCTTCACCCTACATAAACATAAAGTCWAACAAAATTCCATACTTTATTGAAATACAACAATCAAAGTGTCTTACCACATTGAGATCACCAGCCTGTAAGAACATGTCTATAGCTTTATCAGGTTCTGCTGCCTCACACATTCTAAAGACAGTAAACAAAGATTATATGATCTACATTATACAATGCATGGAGAAAATCGCATAACATGCTCACATTATGTAATATTATGAGGAAAAAATTTCATACCATTGTTTTGTATTTGCAGATATTAATTCCAGACTTAC